ATCACCATTTTTGTCTTAATACGTCTCCTTTGAGTGAAACAATCACTGGCGGATTACATCTCACTCTACCCTGGTCAAATGAACCAAAAAGATGATCCCAATATGTCTTTTTTAACAACTTATTTAATGTGGCATATAGAAGAAATGGCGCTTGTCAGGATATTATCAGTCTCTAAAACTGTCATACCTTTATAGGATCATTGATAAATGCGGAATGGTTAGCACGGAAGTGATGCTCGACGGCAGAACACTCGGAACTGGCGACGCCACAGATAGCACAGGTGAACACGTCACATGAGAAACACGGTATGTCCATCTGATTGTGCACATCAAGCGAGGCCAAATGCTCCGCAATCGCGTGCTTTCTCAGCTCGAACGCTGTGGCCAATCGAAGCTCACAGGCCGGGCATCGAATGGTGAGCGGATTCAGACCAGAACGGTTCGTCTCGAGAAGTGGCGAGGAGAGGATTGCTGGAGGTGTTTCTAACATCTGGAAAACGAGGACGGAAAAGAACACGAGTGTAAAAATCCGGTATAGATTTAATGCAAATCACTGGATGGATACGAAACGAGACAGAAAAAACAACAGAAATCGTGTTAGCGAATGAGAACGATTTATTGATGTCAGAGAAGTGTGTGCAAATCAAGGGAAGAAAACAGGATCAGTGATTCTCGATGAAACTCATAAATTCTGAAAGTTTGCTCATAATTTGTTCATTCGTTGCGTGCGCTCCAGAATCCACCGTGGACGGTTGTTGTGTTAACGACAGATATTTTCCATTAGCTGTCAGTTCCCACTGCTGAGGAACAAACAGACTGACCACATCCTTTACAGGAATACAGAACAGACTGGCCACAAATTCCACGGAAATGCATGAATAAGCAGAGGTGATCAAATCGACCAGGTGGCGTTGCTGACGTTGACCGATTTGGGTGACTATATAGATCAGAGATTCTGGATGATGATTGTTCGGTTGCTGAATAATCTGAGAGGCGGTTTCGAAAAATTTGGAATAGTTTTTTCGTAGCAACAATTTTCCTATATTCCACAAGATTTTCAAATTCGCACTGGATTCCTTTACGGGAACGGGAATTCGTTTCCATAAAAACTTGGCATTGAGCAAATCCATTTTCAGTATGTATAAGCCAAGGAATTGGGTATAATATTCGTCGTACGATGATACTCCAATACCGGTGGGACAACTTTTTGGATCGATCAGCTGATGACCCGAGGTTAGCTCGTACAATTCCAACTCCACCAGTTGGTCATTCACAGCCTGATCATCTGCTGACACGCCAATCATTGCGTTCGCCAAAAACGTATCTCTGAAATAAATTTAGAAAAAAAACGGATTCATACCGGAAAACTAGGATGAATGATGTCATCTGACACGAACAAAGAATAAATACGATGTAAAAATTCAAGAGACGACCTTCACCGAAGAAGGTTAGCTGTGAATAAGTTGTGGTATACCGCAACAAATAAGCAGTCACGAACAAACAGCGGCGGCACTACCATGATGTGATGGGTTTCAGACTGGTCACCTGGCTCCTGTCTAAAAGCCACATAAGCCCAATGACGGTGTCGTGACAAAGGTCCATGTGACTGGCCTTTTAAAACTAAAGTCATTGACCCCCTCACTTCCGAGGCGAGGGTTTACTTCCTGCTGCCTTGCAGTTCACACTTGGTTGTACAAAAACTAGAGGTGCGCCCTCAAAATAAAAAACGCCGAGTGACGCTGGGGACGTTTCTCGTGCCGAACTACCAAGTACCTTCATGATTATTTCATAAAGTCGGCTTATCCTTTCCAAGGAGCCAGCCGTAGTAAATAAAAGTGAGTAAGTTGGTGCAGTATGAAATGGATTTGAGGGAGCAAAACCTTATGACCAAATTCAAATGCAAAAAGACGATATGAAAACCGCTTCAAGGTAAGCAAATATCGTAATTACTATGTAGGGTTTGTGTTCGTACGTACTTATTCATTGAAAATTTTCAACTAAAACACATTGGTTGATGGTAGACAGCCTAGTCGTCTCCCATACCATCAGGGCCTCAAGCCCGAGGCTTCTGTTTCTGGTTTTTATAGCCGAAAGATATTTCATCATCATTACTGTACATGGTAATACAGTGAAGTGAACTTCACTGATCGCTGCCAAACTCAATGCATACAAGGTATTTGAGGTGTAAGGAGAACAGGAACTGTGCCTATTTTCAGGGACGAGAAAAGAAAGCGAACCCTTATGGTCGACGCAGAGTACACAGTCCAACTGCGCATACATACTATTTCGCGCATTCTGGTCTGATAAGAAGTGACAGCATGATCATCGTTGCTGTTGGTTCGCAGCCATGACCTTCAGTGTCTCCAACCATGCGGTTCCGGGGTCTTTTGAACCCCAACCCGGAAGACGAGAGACATCTACTCTACCATCACGACGAGACTGCACCTTGACGTGGTGTGATGGCTTGCGCGCCTCAGTGACCC